GTGACTAGTCGCGGATGTGATAACGTTTTTTGAAACCCGTTAAAGTGTAGCGTAGAAGTCATCGTTCCTCTTTAAATGGGATTCTTTATATATTTATATTAAAATCATCCCCAGCAACAAGTGATTGCTTTTTACTGAAACGTAATCCAAGAACGCTTCAAGAAAAAAAAAAACATTTTGAAATTTTTTAAGGTGGTCATTACAAAAAGGTCACAACAGTTTCCATATTTTAGACTTAATATTTCATAGTCACTTGTAACTTGACAACAGATCTCTATCAACTTACATTTTATAGAACTTTTCAAGTGAATAGCAACACCACCACGCGGTTTAAAAAGAAATGTTTGTAATCCTGTATAATAAGCATATCAACCTCCTGCTGTCACCGCGTTTCCGTAAGCATTATAAGGTCAAAGTAAACTCCACACTGATCTAGAAGTTATATTATGGAGTCACGTTTATTTGCTGCTGAACGAGCGTTTAAGTGAAGGATGTGAGAACAATCTTTTGAAGCCAAACAATGATTGAGCTTTTCCACAAAACAAGTACTATGAGTTTCATTGAAAAAAGGAGGAGCAGTAAAACTACAAATATAAGGGAATCATTTCAACGTCTGTCTCACTGCTAAAAGGAACAAGCGGCGCATTCTCGGCTTGACGATCGAAAATCCTGCCGTTTCGCGCCCAAACATATCTACAGTTACAGTCACGCTTTTTTTTTCAATTGTTTTGCCAAGAACACGCTTCAGAGTTGGGCAGAGGTGTTCATTAACGAAAAATGGGCGCATACGTGACAAGACCAAAGTTGAAATTTGAGAGACGCTTCTTTTTTGCCTTATGAAAAACAGCGTCACGCTTCCCGTGGCTGACACAAGGTTGGCTCGCGATGACAAGCAGCAGTACCAGCTCAAGCGATTGGTTCATCTAAACCCCCCCCCCCCCCCCCGTCTTCTTGATAAAATCTGGAAGGACACCCTTCATTTCTAAGTTGACGTCACGCGAGTACTGATCAGAATCCATGAGCCTTTCAAGGCTGGCCTTTTTACGGCTTTTCATTTCGTCGAATTTTTTGACGGGTTTACGTCTTCCTTCCAGATGATTTGCACCAAACATACAAAAAACGAAGCACTGTGCATGAGTGAAACCAATTCGGAGCGCAAGGTTTTCTGTTTCTTTTGCAAGGGTTATGGTGGCGTCCGAACGGCGAGCTCTGATTGGTTTTGAATGAAGGATAGTGTGTAGACCTCAAGGCAGTTTGCTTCGAGGTCTACCCAATATCCTTCAATCAAAGCCAATCAGAAATTGGCGCCGTTCTCATGTCACCGGAACCCCTATGCAAAAACTTGCTCTCCAGATTGTATTTTCTTAGCACGGGCCTTAGGAAAGTGCACTGATTTTTTTTAATCTGACTATTTTTTTTATTGGAGACTAAATAGCTAACTTCTTCATTTTTCGCTTAAGAGCCGAGGTGCGAGCTTGAAAGTCGTAGAGGCATTGAGAAACATTCAATTAGGGTGTTTGCTAGATGACACGCTTTGCGACCTTCTTTTAATTACCCTAAAAAAAGCTCGCAACATATAAAAAAAGACCAGGTGACAACATGCAAATAAATTGTGTTTGAAGCCGAAATGATTGTCTTCTAATTACGCCTGCTCTCGGAGCCGTATCCGCCTTCGTTGGCGGCAGTTGACGTCGCGACCGCTTGCACCATCTCTTGTCTCTCGTGCCAAACGGCGCCCAATGGTTTGAAGACCAGTGGCTTCGCTGCGTTTCCATAGGAGTCAAGCCTTTTTGTTTTGTTTTTTACCTTTTCCTCACGTAAGTTTGCTCTTTAGAAGTTTTACGAAAAATGGACCATCCGTGGGCAACGCTGCACAAAATTGTATCGTGATAGGTTAAAGAGCCTGGCCGCTATTTGGGACAAGCTGTACAACGCTCTAAAACACCCCAGGGAACATAGCAGTGTATTTCCGCTTTGTCACTAACGCTTCACTAGGACCATCCGGCAGATGTGTTGCTAAAGATCCGTGCTTCGGATGTTTTTGGCTGGAAGCGCGGTTTGAGGCTTCCGAGGGTCTCGTGACAACATATAGCCTCAATGCCCCGCGTCACAGGTGATCTAGACCGCGTTTCGCGTTAGGAAATGCAATCATTGGTTAAATTCATTTACCCTTATTTTGTCGCAACTAAAGTGCGGCTAAAATTAAATTTTATTGTAAAATAATAGTATACCTAAAACATTTTCTTTTTCAAACGAAATTCGTAGTGTCCGGTACCGAGGAGCTTCCTCTACAATTTACCAGCAGAATTAGAAACGGCAATTTACGCCCTGAAAATTTTATCAAGACTGTACTTTAGCGGTGGGTTTCACCTAGTGAAGTTTCAAGCCACAGACCTTTCTGTAAAAGTTAGAACAATACCCGTGTAATATTGAAACGCAGCGCACATCAAGTATACGCGATTGAAACCAGACCCCTTCATCAACTCATTCCTTCGCCTGTTTGGTGATGGTTTCACCAGCAAAACTCCCGCGGTCGCATGCGTTAGATGTCGCCATTAAAAGTGTCCTTGTCGTTACCCTAATAATTGACCGTATCAAAATCTACACCTAGAAATTTCACAATGTGAAATCAAGGTATGTATGTAACGCGTTACTAGTAAGAAGTTACTTCTACCTAGCTACGTTTCTCGGTAACGAGTAACTTATTTAGTTACCTTTTAGAGAAGGAACGAGTAACGTACTTAGTTACTTTTAAGTCCAAGTAAGGAGTAACGGTATTTCCTTACTTTCGAGGAGTAACGTGTACAACACAGCTTAAACAGGATCGTTTCAATTCTTACCTGAGTCTGCGTCCATTGCGACAAAGGCAAATGGACAACCTGAAAAACAACTAAGCACCATGACGGTATAGCAACGTTTATCGCTGAACAGGTCAGTCTATCTCTACAACTGAGAATGTTCTTCACCTGGCGAACACAATAAGTTTCGTTGGTTGAACCTTCTGGAATCGTGTACAGATCGAATCTAAACCCGGAGGTTTCCAACACGGAAAGGCACAGACCCCTTTGTCAACTTGGAACTTTAGAAGCAGAGAGAACAAACGAGAGAGGGGAATCCCAGATTCACCAGCTCCTGGGGCTCAACACTGCCGTTCCTTGGAGCGCGTCAGTAGAACGACTCTTCATCGTCGCCAGAGATGTATTCTCAAGGAAGTGGGGAAACAAGTCATGAAAATTGGAGAAGCAGCTACTTCCTAGGTGCAACGATTATTGAAACGAAAACAATAAACCATGAAACAAAAGCTGCTGTGTCTTTGGTCTTCCAAATAACGAGAAAAATAAATAGTTGCTTTTACAGTAAGGTAACGCGTTCCTTTTGAGTAGTGGTAAAAGTAAGGCAATCAGTTATTTTTTGGGGAGGGTACGGAGGGAAGGGTACGGAGAGGAGGGCATGCCCATCCTCCTCCCCTTTCCTCTCCTCTCCTTCTCCTCTCTCTACTCCTTCAACCCCTCCCCCTCCTTCCCTCCCCCTCTCTTCTCCCTCATGACGTCACACGTGACCCTAGTCACGTAACTCGAGAAGGCCTCGGGAGGGTCGTGACCGTTACGAGTGACCTTCGTGACGTCACTCATGACGCCACTCGTGACCCTAGAGACCTTCGTGACGTAGCACTTGACGTCACCTGCGACGTCATGCGTGACGTCATTATGGAGAACGTCATATAATGCAACGAGCGGTTACACCGACAGTGACGGCGATGGCGACGCCGCTCAAGCCGGAAATGGGCGCCTAAGAGCTGCGCTCTAAAAGTAACATATTTAGTTACTTTTCGAGCGAGTAACGAGTCACAGAATTTAGTTACTTTTTAGGGTAACGTGTCTGGTGAAATCCACCAGTAAAACTAACTTTTCATGGAAGTTTTAACTCGTTACTTTCATGTTCCGATTTTCTACGCGTCATTTCAAGGCGTGCTCTTCGATTCCTGACACCTCTTGAAATGCATATAGTATATAACTTGAACTCACGCCTCCTGAGCGGTAATTGCCTTGCTGCCGAGTGTGTAGCTTCTGCAGCACAAATTTCGCATTACCGATTTTGTTATTCTCATCAAGAACAAGCAGGAATGACCACCAGCATGGTGACTCTGACGCAACGTTCAAGCCACGACACTTTGCAGCAGTTGTTCATCGGCGCTGCCATAACCGACCTTCAGTTGTTGTTTTTTCCCTTGTTCTCTTTACTTAGTCATCACCATAGAAGGCCAGATTGTTGCCATTTTGGTTTCTACTCTGTTTTCCAGAAGGCATTGGCCTTTCTCGAGGCTCGTCAACAACGTTTCGATAGCTCGGTATCTCGGTAAGACTAGAGAAGGTCGGCAACGGGGGCTGCGATCTGAAACTTGTGTAAAACGCCCATATGCTAGTCATTTTGTGGGGGTCTTCATTAACAAAACCTAGGAGACTAAGAAAGCGCTATACTCCATGATCAATTCCCGTGTATCGGCGAGGTTCGTTACTTTCACTTGACACTACAAATGTCAGCCAGCTTATATTCTTAGCAGAATGCTTGAAAGCTGCTCAATGATGTTGATCATGTGGTGACGTTAATGCCACAATTTGGATATTAAAAATACGCTTTTGTTTTTCTCTTCCATCGCGTTACTGCCGCCTACCGCGTTACCTCTAGTGGGCTCTACCAGGCTCAGCAGCAGTCGCTGCGGCCGCTCTGTGCACTCTTGTTTACTTCTGTAAAAAAAGACATTCGGCATGCCGTTTCCGGCGGGGCTGGAACTAGAATCGAATACCCGTGCTATAAATAATGCCCATCAGATATTTTATTTGTTTTATTAAGAGTAATGCACACTTGGTGGGTCCCGGTTGTGCATGATTTTTGAGGTTTTGAACAAAGGGTGACAGACATTCAAAAAGGAACCATATTGAAATATTTTCAACAAGACAATGATAATCAAAATTCTATGTCTCGAACGAATGAACACTCACGAGTTTTACTTCCATGTACGGTGGTGCACAGTTGGGCGACGAGAAGTAGCGCCAGACGCATATTTCAGCCGGATAGGTTCTGTTTTCAGAAGTTAGCAAGGACACGTGAAGTCTTCCTCGAAAGCCTATGCAACATATGGCTCTGAAGTGTGAGGTAGGTTTTGACGTTGTATAAAAAGATAAAGAAAACACGCTTTCATTGTGTTTCATTTTATTGTTTTGCTTTTTTGTTTACCCGGATATCGGATGACCTTTTCAGTCGACTAACTTTCCTTTGTTAACTCTAAAAACAAAAACAAACAAACAAAAAACAACAACTGGGAAGCCAAAAATTTTAAATTACTTGCGTCACAATATATTGTTTCGCTCAAGCGATTCCTCGTATGTTTCTATATAAAACCCAGATGACCTTTCGTTGTCTTTGGCGAGTACCACTGCATATTTTTTGTGTGGTTGTACGGAAGTTATTTAGTCGACACCGTAACCTAGGTAATTTCAAGCGGGCAGCTATATTTTTTTAATCCGTTATAATTTTTGTTCTTCTAACCCTGTTTATGTTTTGGTTAATTAAAAATAAGAGAATTAAATTCTAACCTAAATTATCCTTAATCTTTAAGCAGTTTCAGGGGTATCAATTTTCTCCGTTTTTTGCATATTTTGAGCTGCTGAACTTCACAGGAAAATTTATAACGCCCTACAGATGGCGTGTGGTTTAAGCGCTTTTTTATCTATATATTAGACTTAGTTACTTTTTCTCATTTTATGAAGCGTTGTTGATTTAGCGGCATAGCAGTGAAAACACTACGAAGATGTAGGTAGTAGCAGTCTGTTAGGTATCAGGTTCATACTGGTATGGCTAAACTGTTACCGGTACGAACCTGTTTACTTTCATATAGCCGTCAAATGATTTCCTTCAGTAGGAAAATGCTGCGAATGTAGGTAACTATGTATGCAAAAAAGAATTAATCGTTTTGATCGCTTTCAGAAGTTCATTAAAACATTATCACTACACACACCATGTTCTCCACACATTTATGAAAAAAAAAAGATTCTTGTCTGCGGAACGGAAAGAGAATTATTAAATAGAATTACCCTGTTTTCATCCCAAGCAAAACTCACAAATTAAACACAAAGAGCCGCGGAGATTAGAGAGTTTTGGTAGATCGTTCCGATGGCTCCGATAACGATACCGGACACTCCGCCGCCGCATCTGCGCATACACGACACCACCCATAAGATAAGGCCACAGTGCTGACATTTGTGCGTCACCAGTAAAGGCCAACGCTGGACGCAGATTGGAAACGAGTGCTGGGTAAACGCTCGACTTCGAGTCAAGTTTGAGCAGAACGTTGACGCTATCATCGTGCCCAATCACTGCCCAGCGTGGGCTTTTGTGATGACGTCATCCGATTCAGCACTACGGCTTTATTATATAGGAGGTGTTGGCCTACATCGTATCGTTATCGGGGCTGTCGGAGGTATCGGAGCGATTTACAAAAACTTTCACATCGCGCCGAAAGCGAAAACAATTGTCGCTGCGGTCGCCGCGCCCTGATTGGGTGAGATGTACCATGTCGTCAGGGAAAGGACTCAGCTTCGCGATCTCGCGTCCCGCTCCCTTCCCTGCCGCTGTTTCGTGGTTTGCGATCACGTTGACCTACTGTTGAGAACCATAATGCAAATCTCAAAAAATAAGTCGGTATCACCTTTCACCACTTGAAGACGTCAAGGTTAAAGAAAGCATGGACAATCTAACTAATGGTGGGAAAGGCACAGTCAACGTCGGTCGTTGTGTGCCGCAAGCTCTTCGGGAGTGGGATTTTCGTTTACCCGGTCTACAGAACGCCAGGTAAGAGCGATACCGGCGTGCTTCCGTACCGTTTGTAAACGTGTTTGTCACTTTTACCTTTATAATTACGTTAAAAGTACCGAATGCCATCGGCGGAGGCGACTCCGCCGATGAATCACCCCCCTTCCCCTCCCGTTCCCCCATTCCGTTTACACGACACAAGGTGACCGCGCGAGGGGTCACCTTGTGTCGTGTAAGTGTTTGTGTGTAAGTGTTCCTTGTGTCGTGTAAGTGCAGCGTAAGTGTTTCAGACGCTGAAAATTTGTTCCTTGCATGTTCATGAGCTAGGAGAATATTACATCCCACATGGCGCATTTCAAATTACATTTATAGGGAGTATTCACTGGCGGCCATAGCTGTGTGCGCGATTGCTGAGCGCGTGCTGATGGCAAGCTTCCACAGTTCTCTTGCAATGTGCATTCCACACCACCAAGAGAGCCGGTCTTAGCAGCCTATTAAAGTGAGCTCGTTCTGAGCATGCGCTCTAAACAGCACCCACAAATATGGCATCCAGTGAATACTCCCTATATGAAAGGCTTTTGGGTGATCGGCGCTTGCGATCCCGACTCTGCGCGTGCACTCTGCATGCGCTGGCTCGCAGATGCATTGTTTGCCCTGTGTCTGACGGCCCTTGAAATGGTCGTGAAACCAAGTTGATCTACATAAATGTAGTTTCTTTATGAATTAATGATAAAGTTCGTACACGCATGCAGACATGTTTTATTTTTAGAACACGCACAATTACTGAAACTCTGTACGATAGCAGGAAAGACGGCCGAATCGCTCCCAGTTGCCTGCATGAGATGCATTGAACTGTCCAAAATATGCACAGAATTTTAGTACCATAGTTTGAAATATTTGCATTTTTTTCTGACATTAAATTTTTATTTTATTATTCCAATATTATGTATTCAAATCATACACCGTTTATTTTTGATTTTCCTTTCCAGGAAAGAGAGACGCTGCTTCAGGTCCCCCAAAGCTTCCTCGCCTCAAAACTCCCTACAGCTCAAAACTCCTGTTTCTACCAACGGTTAGAAACAGGAGGAACAGCGAGCATTCGAACGGTTGTCCAGTGGAAGATTCTGCACTAGTAGCAGAATATGTGGAGCCTGTGGAGGGTGACAGTTTGAATGAGAAAAGCTTCTCGTATTTCAACCTTTAAAACAATAGGATTTAGCTAAATTTTCAATATTAGAGGGTGTCAAAATTAAATTGTCGAGAAGAGATTCATAACGGGCACGACACCTTCACTCACGTTTGTTGTGGATTACTTGAGGGATATCATAAACAAATCCGCAGCTACCACCAGTGGAATCCATTGAAATGCTATCCGAATCCAGCAAGGGTCAAAAATGAGCAATGTAAATATGTATAAACACATGGTATGTGTATGTGCTTCTTCTTTTTTTTAATTTGCCCCTGTACTTAAACTGTGTCACTTGCGATTCTCTCCCCATTGCCCAGACTATATTTGACATGTTACTCTATCAGCATGCAGCTTTTCTGCTTCGGCGTTTTCGTTCAGAAGCAGAGATACAAATAAAAAAAAGAAAAGAAAGACGTTTACAACTCCCTGTAACGCCGAATTAGAAGGGGAGGAAATGAGGGAACGGAGAGGAGGGTATGCCCCTCCTCCTCATTCGCACTCTCTCCTCCTCTTCTCTTCCAGTGCTCCTCCCCTAATCCTCCCCCCTTTCCTCTTCCGCCTCCTCTCATGAGGTATTTCGATTTTGCGGTATCCCGTGCTAAACAATCGGAGAAATATATATTTTTATATATATATATATATATATATATATATATATATATATATATATATATATATATATATATATATATATATATATATATATATATATATATATATATATATATATAAAGCTCCACTCTAAATTCCGGCGGTGCCAGAAAACAGGGCAGCAGGAGCAAGGCGGGAGAACGAGACAGCGTTAGAGTCAACACTTTGACGAAGCACGTGATACTCTCGATCTCCTCCTACTTTCTCTCGGCTCTGTTGAAGGCTGCTCGGCGTTTTTGATTTCCTCAGCATTAGTCTTGAGCGTCCTCCCCCGACATGGCACAGCAGAACAGCGAGTGCACGTCTCATAATGCAACGCGCGGTTACGCCGTCGACGAAGGCGACACCGCTCAAGCCGGAAACGGGCGCCTAAGAGCTGCGCTCTAAAACAAAATAGTATACACAACTTGTCAATTTATTGAAACCATCAGTAGCAGTGATTGTGCAAGATGGGAATATTGTGATGCTCCTGCTAGTATGGCCACACTGTGATTCATGCGCTGCTGCCCTGTTAACCATGCCTGAAATGTTGGTTGAAGCTTCGCCTGTAGCTACGGGTCATACCTTAATAGACCTACATAATAATTTACACTTCCTACAAAAAATGAGCGCAGAAATGTAAATAGAACTGAGCGTGCTCACAGCTAATGTCATCACAGCCTCCACAACGCGAACGCGGCGAATAAAAAAAAAAGAAAAATCAGCCGTCGACGTGACGTCACTCCGGTTCGCCGTAAGGAGGTGCCATGCAAACGTTTCGGGGCTAATTCAGACGGAGTCGGGACCGCTATCAGAGGCATATTCTTGCAGTGTACTTACGAATAAAACAGCGACATCATGTAGTCTGTGAATGATGGATAATCCGCAAGCACGCAAGCACAGAGTCGAGAAAGAAGGTCTTCCATACTCAACGGACGTCTCGCTGTAGCCGATCAACAGTTCTTTATCGAAGCGCGTCTAACAAACACGGCACAATAATTACATGGACTCAAATGAAGAAAACTGCCGCTACCGAAAACTCGCCATGCATGTATTCCGGCCGTTCACGACGAAAAGCCCCGGCTGCAACTGCAACGCACAAAAAGCAGCAGAATACTGAAGTGCACGTTTGCGAAAACAGGCCTACGTGGCCCCCTACCCATCACCATAACTTGGCAAACGGCGATGACTACGGCCCGAGTAAACCCATCAGCGCATCACCGCCAGTCACGTGACAAATTTTCGTCTAAACATTTCTGTTCTATGGAGAGCGGTCACGGGTTTCCCTCCACCCAGGTGGGCAGGTTTAAAAAAGGGATCAGTTGCCGAGTGGGCTAACGCGTCTCTGGTCGGAGTGTGGAGCGGAAGCTTGAGCTGCAGAACCTCCGGGGTTAGATTTCTACCCCCTGCCTGTTTCATTTCACTTCATTTATTGATCTCTGAAATGCCCACGAGGGGCTTTACATAAGGGCAGGCAGTTTTTGTACGATTCAGGTACATAGTACAAACAGGAATAACAAACAAAGGATAAAACACAAGTGAACTAGAGGCAGTAAAAGGTGGCAAGTGATTCTCTAAATTTTGAGATATCCGATATCGTTACTATTGAGTTTGGTCATTTATTTAAATTATTAATAGAAAGCTGGAGAGGAGAAAATTAAATATGTTTGTCTTAGGAAAGGATAAAAGAAGCTTGCAGGATTTATCTAAGCGAGGGGAGGTGTGAGGTGCAGGTATGTAGTATAAAGATCTCTGCTAACGAAGATGGTAGTCAATTCTATGTAGAATGGTTAAGACGGATATCGTCCTTCGTCTTTTAAGAGATTGGAGGCCAAGCTGAGTTTAAGAGCACTGACGCTAGCCGTGAAATTATAATTTCTTTGAATAAACCGTACCGCTAGGTTTTAAACTGCCTCTAACATCTCTTCTAGAAAAAAATACTGATGGGGATTCCAAACAGATGAGGCGTACTCCAGCTGGGGTTGAAGAAGTGAGGTGTATGGTCCCCTTGTAATATGGTGAAGACCGGTGCTTCCGTCCTGTGTCGATATGTAGACTTCTCTTTCTTTTAGGTAATTGTTTATCCATTTGTATACACGTCCTCCAAAACCAATGGCCTTCCTATCTTGAAGAATAGCGTTGTGTTCTACACAGCCGAATGCCGACTTTATGTCCACAAATACAACTGTTTTTTTTTAAATTTTATTTACTACATTCATTTGTTGAATGCTAGTTACTAAGTCAATGACGTTATCAATGCTGCTTCTTTCGCGCCAAGATTCATACATGGACCAAGGGTATAGTTCCCTATTTTCTAGATTCCATTCCATACGGGTAAGCAACAAGCTATTCAGCTTGTTGATGCTATCGGACTGAAGGAGTTAATGTCTAAAGGAGATTTACAGGTTTCGAGATTGGTAACACACGCAATATTATCCATTCCTTCGGTACAGAACCCGTTTTCCACGAAAAGTTAAATATTTGTAGCAGTGCGCTCCTCGCCCCCTCCCCTAAGTGGCGTAGTAAAGGCTGAATACCGTACACCATCCGTGCCTGGGGATGACCTGACGTTAGACGTCTCGAGCGCCGTATCAAGTTCCTTTAAGATAACATATGCATCAATAGCCTTGCATACACTTCCGGATACTTGTCCCTCCTGTGCACTGACTTTGTCATGGGGTATTGAAGAGCAGGAAGGGATCTTGAGATAGAACTCTTCGGCTACGACTGTTTCTGATACTTGGCGGCTCAGACTGATGGCGGAGAACGGGTGAATTAACTGTGGCCTTGCACGTAGGCTTCGCATTATCTGACATGTTCGATTGAAGGGCCAAGGTTGGAATCTGTTACACATAAAAAAACAGTGTTTATATATATATATATATATATATATATATATATATATATATATATATATAATATCTTCATTTACTAAAATAGGATGATTGATTGATAGATTGACTGATTTATTAGTGTATATTAAATATATGCGCAACCTTTTCATGTATAAAGCTGAGAAATAAATTTTCCAAACATGGGATATTTCAAAGAACGCTTTATTTTTTTTTTATCGCGGATTTAATCGCCACTAATTCATATGTATCCCAGCACCACGCCCGCCGTCCCCAGTCAGTCGAAAAACTCGCTTTGGGATAGTTTTAACGCTGGACCACAACAGTGTAATTTTCTTGTTGCTCGCAGATCCCAGAAAGGCAATATCCAATATTGAAAAAATCATGATTCTTCTCTCGAACATACTGCCACTGGAATTGAAAGAAATCAAAGCGTCAATCTTAGTTTGTCGTTATGCACTAAAAGGAACATTCAATGATGCCGATATGTTACGCAAAGTAATAAGGGAATAAAAATTTAGTTATTAGTAAAACGAGAACAAAAGTAAAATTTATCATCGGTAAAAGTGACAAAAAAAGTCCAACAATTTAAGACCGAAATAAGGACGCATCGTACAGACTAAGGCCTGGATGATTTTTTAAAAGACATTGCACAAGAAAAACAAAACAAAAAAGGAAAGACGCAATAATATTACACCCTAGAGAGACAAGCTCTTTTACAACAAGAGTACAAAAATCAGAATTACTTTAAAAATGAATTAAATATTTTTTTCTAGTTCTATCAGGTTTACTTGATTTAAATCAGTTTAACTCGATTTCAGCTACTGCAGCTATGAAATCGTGCTTTTTAATCACTGTATGTGTTTTTAAACATGAAAGATTGATTGGTCATCAATACGTTCCATCGCTGAAAACAATATGTAAGAAAGAAGTAATAAAAATTTAAAGTATAGTTTAATTAACAACTTTTTTATTGAGTAAACCACGCCGCAGTAGAGAAAAGCAGCTTGATTTGTTTGAGTTAGTGAAAAAGCTTTTTTTCTATTTTCCTTTTGCATTCTGATTTTCTCGCAAAAGGTTATTACTTTTACAGTCTTAGTTTTTTTCTTTCGGGTATTTCTTTTTTACCTGCAAGAGGATGTTACGTAGGTGAAGGGCGAGTTGAATTGTAGAGAGAAAACTCAACGTTCCGATTGGCTCAGATGCCCACTCCACAATGCTTCGTCCTTGTGTTCGATTTGATACAAACTTTTTTATGTTGATTTCTTGATTTAAGTACAAAACAAACGCGCGTAGTGAACATCAAATGATAAAAAAAACAGAAAATAAAACACACACCTTTTAAATTAGTTTTTGCGGAAAAGGTATCCTTTAAATAATCATATAGTAAAACCAGTCGGACTTAAATTACCATTTAAATCACGATTAAAATCATCTTGATATTTTTTTTCTTTACCCTAGTGAGAACACCGGATCCAACATTTGAAAGCGAAAATGGGAGATGTCGCGGACTGTTATGCTGAGAAAAGGAATTTGTTTTAGATTAAACACTATGTAAACATAGACGGCTAGATGAAGGGTTCTTCAAACAAATGCTCACTGGCACCTGGGGCCGAAATGACCGTGTACCGAAAATACAGCGTACAGACACAACAAAGTATGAAGATAACATGCAGCTAAACGACCCGCCCAAATACCGTGGTCCTAAACCCGAGACGTCTAGATTAGGACCGTGAAGTAAATCAACCTACCGATTAATATATAAATGCATTAATGGGCCACTAAGTTTTCTTTCTTTTTTAACGGAGCAATTGATTTAAAGTAAGCCTTTGTATCTCTTCTGTCGCCCGTGAGCGTTTGACGCATACACAAATGGAAATTAATAAATGATTAGTGTGATATTAAAAAATGAATCACGCATTTATTATTATATTATACTAAATATTTTCTTGGGAGAGAATAAAAAAGCTAAAAGCAGCAGGCAAATAGAAGAATGACGGACATGATAGAGTGACACTTTTAAATCAGGTTTATTAATAAAAAAAGGGAAACTATTCATTGTTTTTTCACGTACACGGGATTCAAGCAACGCCGCACCCCAATAATCTACGCTTATTAAATCACGTCAAACGACTTCCAGTGTTCCATCTCAAAACCCTAAAGGGCTGTCAAGAAAGTTTTGACACGTTTGCAGTGCTCACGAAACGTGTACTGAAAGCGTCAACAGCGTCTTATATCAAGGGAGAACTACCCTGGCGGCAGCTGAAGAAGCGCCCCATGATGTAGAGCTCAATGAAACAGCCTGAGCAGAGGTTGGCAGAGGAGGCCTTTTGCTCAAAGCCAAAATCGTGACTGAACCGGGGACAACACATTAATTTTGCGTGCCGTCAATTTACACGTATTGCGCACTTCCCCGCACGAAAGTGCATGGGTGCTACGCCGAAACCCTAATTGACTACATGACCCATTCGGTAGCTATTTCACGTTTCTACTAAATGAGCAATCGAATAGCTGATAATTTCCGCAGTCACCTAATCATAGCAGTGAGAGAGTGTCGAAATACATAGAACATCTGGCAAGCAAAATTGCTGCATTGTCTTCGATCCTGCCACGATGTTCTGTTTTTATTTGCTAGTACACGTTTCACTATTTTTCTACATGTAGATGCCAATAATATATTATACCACAATAATAAGTCGCCATACATCAATCGTGTTAGTGTTTTCCTTTGACTTTGACGAAAAGTAAAAGCATTGCTCTAGTGTATGGTTTTGTATACGAGCGATGAGCCGGAAGCGACGCTTACAAAATAAGTATGCTTTACTTTATCAAAACACAATCTTACTAACCAGCTAGATTGCTAGCAAACGAGTAAATTTGTCTTAGATCAAGGAGTCGGATCACGCTATACGTCGTGCAATTTCGCCTGCCTCCCTGCGCACATCGTGCGTTTGTTTACTCCCCAAACGCGACCTCGTCTTTTTGCTTTTAGCCGACCTCACCCAATTACAGCACGCTTTTCGGTGCCTCGTCATCGCTTCGTTCCCTACGTGTTCTCTGAGGTGCCCTTTGATTGGCGCGCTTCTCGTCGCGTTCTGATGCGCCGAGGGCACGTTTTAGAGCGCTTGGTCGCCTTTTTAACACCCAAGTGGAGCCTTTCTTAAATAATTCACCCCAACAAATAAGAGAAGGAGCGCGATATAACAAGACGGAAGTCTGATTTTTTTTTCCGGGTGAGGCAGTTTTTGGGGAAGGCACTCGGTTGAGGTTTTAGCCGTTTTTTTATGATAGATGCCAACCCTTTTTATAATCGTCCCTTAGACCATAGAGTCAAATATACTCACGAGGCAAAATATATTGTCGGGTCGATTCTCGAAAGTTCCGTCACTGCAATCCGCTCGGCAATGTGACGCCACCGTCAGCTGGAATTAAAACATTTATAAGTACGCGACAATAAAAAAAGTAATTATATGAATGTTCAACGGAATGCACTTTGATCTCGGGAGTAGTAGTGCTGATTAAGCTTTTTTTATTATTATTTTGCGGTACAATTGGTGGTTTACTTTAAGCGATTCTTGCTCATTGCCTAAGAATAAACAAAAGTAGCTTTGACACCAAACGGCATCTACTTATGAGAACCAAATATAATTTTGAACAATGACTTCGAATCGAAAATTTTAAAGTATGCAACAATCGCTCACTTCCGGTTCATCAATATAGCTTGCTGTAGTAGGTTCGTCTAATAGATATGCACTCTCTTGCATTAATGTTCATACAACGTTCGTCAAAAATATTTTTATTGTACGTTGAAGGGCATTTGGGTCTAACAATTTACTTTTAACACTTCATGAGGATAAATTATTTTAGAAGTTGATGACTTCTGAGGATTTAAACAAGAACTGGCGTTTGTTGCACACACAAATGAGAAACAATCCCGCTCGAAAAAGCCGAATATATTTACTTAGGTTTGCTGTATATATTATGTGCTATAGAGGTGAGGACTTGGATTCCATATTATCCTAGAAACGTCTTTATAAATATAACTCGCATTTTAGTATGTGTCTAATTTCCTACTAGATTACGAGAGATGCTTCGGGTTTGCATTTCACCCTGGGATGCTACTGCATACCATTTCGCAGTCACATACCTGAATACGTTTTGCATATTCTTTATACATTTTTGAAGATAGCGTTGTCGGTACTCCCCAAATTTTATACACGAACCTTCTCGGAGTGTGACTTCTTTACTTTATGCTCTTCGGCATTTTAAGCTATATCTTCTTTATATATATATATATATATATTATATATATGCGTATAAAATATACACCTATATAAATACCTCCATGTACGTATACACATATGTATACATATAATGTATGTGTTTACTGGGATATTTCATCAAAGGCTTTCAAAAATCCCTAAAATAGGGTGGCTGAAAAAAAAAGAGACTTCCTGGGGCAAGTTTTTAGTCACGCGCTGGGCGTCAAGGATATCAAAACGCACACTAGGGTAAGACCGGGCAAAATGAAACAAAATATTTGCAAATCGATGTTGTTTCTCTTTTTGTTTCACTGCCAATCCAGAAACAAAAAAGGCTGTGAAAATACTTTTTGCAACCAGCAAAAATGAAGAGGCTGCAGAGTAAAACTACAATATAATCATTTATTTATTCATTTATTCATTTTATATAACATTTATAATTTCTATAATTTCATCATTTCTTTTATTGATAATAAAGTCCCGGATGTCACATTTTTCACCGCTGCCGGGGCAAAGCGGGAGAGCTAGTCGGGAAAAATGAAACATTGTCAAAAAAGAAAAAGACAGCTCAATTATTGCGCTCGGAATATTTGAAGAACTCTGTGGTATCCTACATATTTGTAAGCCCATTATTTGCAGGCCATGCACTGGATTCATACACAACAGGGCGCTGTTTTGCATTAGTTTTCTGGCAGACATTGTACTGCCTGTCATATTTGGTGCGAGTCATTCGGTTTTCAAAAACCTCTCCCTCTATCGGTTTATTCAAGGAACGAAGAGTCTCCAGACTATTTCCTTCACCCTGATTAGTTTTTTTTTTCTTTCCGGTTTCATTGTCAAATTGTCAAAGATATCATTTGTACATCAAATGTGCGTGAGCTCCCCCCCCCCCCCCCCTTAAAAAAAAAAAGAGTTATCCGTACACACAATATACTCTGTAAGCTGTAATTATCTTGCTGGTCGGAACGAACTCGTCGCTGGATCCTGACTAACCGCCAATAAGCACTTGTTCTTTAGATTTCTTTAAGTTTCCTTGCACCCCTTTGGAGTGGATCGTTAGGTATCCCGAAGGCTTTAGCTGCGGTGCCAATAAACTGACACTACTGATGCTCGCTTCCAAGTGGGCATCAGTGGCGTCAGTAGTGTAATTTTTTCACCATGAAGAACTGGTTGTTTTTTGTACGGCCGGACCATCCTTGACTATAAGTAAAACTAGTATAGCTCAAGAACAAACACTGAACATGCTAGAAACAAAGTTTACGCTTGAGGGCAATAGTGTCGCGTTTTGCCCTTTGTCGATACTCTTATCAAATACTTCTCTTATTTAAACAATTTTATCGTCATGAAATTTATCACCTATCGCGATAAAAGTTTCTCCACGAGTAGCCATTGAAAAAACAAATAAAATAAAAGTTCATATTGGTACGACACCTTTTCCAAGCTTAGCTGCAGGTCCCAAGAAAAAGGCAAGCGCAAAATACCACTAATGTTAGCGGCTCGTTGACCCACGAACAATAACTACACGCTATATTTTTTTTTTTTTTTTGCGCCAGCGTGTTTTTACTTATTGTTACAGACTTTCTATGAAGTAAAACGGAGAAGTACCGGTACATATTGGCAAAGTAATAAATTAGCCCCATTGAAGACTTCGCATACTGATGGCGTTAAACTCAACGTATCGTTTTTTGCCTTATATCTCAATTGCCTCCTTACCCTAATTAGCTAAATAATTAACTAAAACTTACTCAATAACCAGTTTATTAATGAACATAAATGCAAGATTTCAATGAGAAACTTGCTCATCATCGAAAGCCACTAAATCAACTAATACAAGGCAGGCAGCATTGAACGGCGTTACAAAAACAAAATTAATTCGGCAGGGACACTTGAGACCGTTTACGTGTAGGAATGCTCTCGCATTCCTACACGCAGCGCATTTCTACAAGCAGCATGCCAGGTCTTCCTATCACACACGGCGCTCCGGCGGTGAAATCACGCTCCCCCCACTGCGCAGGCGCGTCGAACCTTGCCGGCTTCACGACGGCTTCTGTGACCAAGCACTGCACTGTAAAAAATTCCCGTGATTTTACAAACAATTTGTCGTAATTCTGACGGACAGTGTGTCCGTTTCTTACTTAACGGACATAAAACCCGTTTTTCGTTAGGTTGAATAAAATAGTACAGTTGTGTGCCAAAGAGTACCATAGTAGAGGATAAAAGCGTTAGAAGTGCTTTTATCGTCTAATCCTGCTAAGAGCAATTCGTTATAGTAAAGAGGCCAAAGACTGTACCAAGAAACCCGCAGTACCCTGCAAAAGGAACAAATAAAAGTGGGGGGAAACACAAAATAGAAATCAAGTAAAAGTCTGCAATTCACGTTAAAGCACATAGACACTGCTCTACCTCAGTGGGAGTGAAGGTAGCGAGTTTCCTGTCTACAGATGTTTTCGAGCTTGTGATGATTGTTAGGGGGGTTCTGCGTGAGTGCAAATAAAGGGATTGCCAGAACAGTGAAGACCACACCAAGAAGGAAGGCTGTTGCTCTACAGTACGAAACGGTTGAAAGGCACCAGCCCAATTCTTGCAAACAACTCCCTTCAGTGCTGTCTCATGAACTTGCAGTTCCACAACGCTGTTTAGGAGGCATAATAAGACAACCCGCTGGAGGGCCACACTTGAGATCAACTCTGGTCGTCCATTGAAGGGTCAGAATTCTAGCCAATGTCAAAGCAGTGAGTGATCCGGAGTGAGCTTGGCTGCCGAAGAATAGTGTATAGTTGCCCTTCGATGAACACTTTCAACTGATCTTACAAGATCAACCTCACAGGAGTCTCATATGGAGCTGCAATACTTTAGGTGTGGCAGGACCAGGGCTGTGAAAGGCATGGGCGTACCAATTGGGTGGTCAAGGGGGGCGCTTGTCCCCCAGTTCTTAGAGTGTGGGGGGGGGGGGGGGCAAGTCATGTGTTTTGCCCCCCCCCCCCCCCCTAAAACAGCCACCACTGGGCAGGGCAAACACCGGCTGGCAGCGCCCAAGGGATACCAAGGGCACCGCTCCTCGGTCCCGGGGGGGGGGAGGAGGGGAGGGGAAGGGGGTTTAGTTTGCCCCCCCCCCCCCCCCCCACTCAAAACCAAGTTGGTACGCCACTGGTGAAAGGCACGTAAGTCTGTTATGGCCTGGTCTACTGGACACGCTAAGTTCAAAACCCAGTGTTCCGCACGTTTTGAACAAAACTGTCGTCAGGCTGTGCGAAGAAGCATAGCTGGCTGTTTATAGTAGACCTTGTCGATGTTGTTCTGCAAACCCTGGTGGTTTCTTGGGCCACCTGATAAGCGGCACCAGTATCAGGTCGTCCGTAACAGCAGTGGAGTTGATTGCAGGGATCACGATTAATAAACATGTTGAGAACAAGTGGACTGAGCACACTGTACCGTCGAACTGTCGAGTATTTGGGGCCACTGGAAATGGTTCCATGGTATACACTGCACTCCGAGCGACTCAACTTGAAGACGTCTAGTATGTACACATTTAATTAAATCGTGTTAATGAGCACCAGTGGCTCGCTGGGCAGGTCATAGGACTCAGCTTTCACGGAAGCCAGGTAGCATGCACAGTATAGCAGCCCCTTGCCATGCTTGTGAGAGGTTCCAGCTCCAGGTCGTGGCGTTGCCAAAAGGGTAGTAGAAAAGGTACCACGACCAGCACACCCCTACAGTTCTTAGCACGATCCTTTCTGTAAGCAGTGTGCTCCACTGTAGCAATTGTCAAGGTGACTGCCATAAACCGAATCCTGCATCCACACTTTACATGCCGCTAGAACTGTTCAGGGATGCGTCTCATGGAGTGAGTGAAGGTGCAGCAGCTTATTCGGGACCAAGTGCCCTGCTTGAGAACCACACTGCGAGTTGAGGCAACGCAAACCAGGGAGTACAGGGATGGGGTTCGTCTGGGCGGGCCAGGGTGGTGGAACACGGGGGGCAGCGTCGCTGGTTGCCCGGGCAGGCCAGAGTGCGGTGTCCGTACTCGACACAGCTGTTGCAATGATGGGCTCGAGGATTGTGGGGACGGCAGCGAAATTCAAGGCGGCGGTAGTACACTGTGTAAGGGACATGGGTTCCGATGAAGGTGATGATGGCTGAACCTGTTGTGCCTACTCGCC